TACAACCTTGCTTGCTGAAAGTGAAGAGGACTTAAAACATTTACTGATGAAGATCAAAGACCACGGCCTTCAGTATGGATTGCATCTCAATGTAAAGAAGGAAAAATCCTCTCCACTAGACCAATAAACAACATTCTTATCAATGGAGAAAAGATTGAAGTTATAAAGGACTTCATTCTTCTTGGATCAACCATTAACACTCACAGAAACAACAGCTAAGAAATCAAATGACATATTGCATTAGGCAAATCTGCTGCACAAGACCTTTTTAAAGTGTTGAAGGGGAAAGATGTCAGCTTGAGGAATAAAATGTGCCTGACCCAAACCATGGTATTTTCAATAACCTCATATGCATGCGAATGCTGGACAGTGAATAAGGCAGACTGTAGAAGAATTGATGCTTTTAAGTTATAGTGCTGAAAGAGAATATTGAAAGTGCCATGGGCTGCCAAAAACACAAACAGGTCTGTGTTGGAAGAAGTGCAGCCAGAGTGCTCCTTGGAGGCCAGGATGGCCGAACTTTGTCTCTCATACTTCGGGCATATTGTCAGAAAAGACCAGTTTCTGGAGAAGGATATCATGTTTAGTAAGGTGGAGGGTCAGAGAAAAAGAAGAAGACCCCAGTGAGATGGATTGGCAAACTGGCAGCATCACTGGGCTCAAGCGTGGCAACAATTGTGAGGTTGGCCCAGGACCAGGCAGTGCATACGGTCACTATGAGTCAGTGGCACCTAACAACAAGTTTTCCAAGTCAACTGGGAGCATGACTATTGTCATTTTATGGAAAAACTATGTTTAACTATATAGGAAACTGTGAAACTATCTTTCACAAGTTACTGAAAAATTTTGCAGTCATATCAGCAATGAAAGTCAGTTCTTGTTCTGCATGCTTACCAGAATTTGATATTATCAATTTTTAAAAATTTTAATCATGTGTTAGCTTTTTGTTGATTTAATTATTTCCAAAATAAGTAGTCATAAGTATTTTTTTCAAATTCTTATTTTTTATGTAGAAATATTTACTAGATAATTGCTTGTTGAGATATACCCTTTTTCCCCTTAATATTATTATAATTTCTTTGTATATACTTAATATAATCAATGTTGTGTTTATATTTTGAATGTTTTTAATAAAGCCCACTTCTTTTCCATAGATTGTGCTTCTATGTGTATCTGAAATCTCATCAGCAAACCTAACACTATTAATTTTTTTTTAATCTATGTCCCATTTGTTGTTGTTTTTTAAATGTAAGATGTGAACTTTGTGTCTAGATTCATTTTTTTGGCAAGTTGATAGCCAAATTTTAAAATTCTTTTTATTGAAAAGTCTCTTCTTTATTTATTTAATTAATTTTATATCTTTTCAAAAATCCGTTGACTGTATTTGTATGGTTCTATTTCTTTACTGTTAATTCAGTACTTTTAAAAAATTTATCTATGTTCCTATTTCTTTCACCAGTGTCATATTATCCTGACTCCATAGCCAAATATAACATCTCTAAGTCAGGAAAATTAAGTTCTCCAAGTTTATTCTTTCTTCAGTATTGTCTTTGCTATTCTAGACCTTTTATTTTTTTCTTATGTACTTTAAAATCCATTTGCTATTAATTTGGATTGCCTTGAATTTATAGGTCAAATTGGACAGTGAACATCTTAACAGTATTGATTCTTCCAATACAAAATAATGTAATACCTCTTTATTTATTTAGATCTTCTTTAATTATTTTGTCCACAATTGTTTCATACATAGAGTTCCTGTGCCTATATTTCTATATTTATACCTATGTGTATCAGTTTTTGGAACTACTATTGCAAAGGATATTTTTTTTTATTTCAGATTCCAATGATTCATTTCTGAAATTTAAGTAAGAAACTAGTTTTACAATCAGTTTGTACCCTGAAGCCTGCTGTACTTGGTTTTCAGTTTCCTAGTTTGTTTTGTTTATATGTGTGGTAAACTTGTTGGGATATTCTATGTTTACCAACATGTCATCTATGAATAAAGGCTTCTTTCTCTCTTTGTTCCCAATCTGTATGCTTATAATTTTCCTTTCCTGCTTATTATTTTGGCTAGGACTTCGTTTTATATTGAATAGAATTGATGAGAGTTTACACACTTATCTTGTTCTTGATATTCTGTGTATGTTGTGGGTGGGGCCCCGTCTATCGTCTATCACCATTGAGTTTGATATTACCTTTTAGTGTTTGTGGGGAGGTCACAGAGAGCAAGTTTATTTGGTGAATGCTGCTTGCAAGCATTATCCAAGAGAGACAAGCTGGGAAAGGTACTGTGACAGCTAAGGAGGCCTTTAGGACTAGATAGAGTCTCTCACACAGGAAAGGCACAGGGCTCTGGGGACTTGGGAAGGACTGTTCACTCTGCACTATCCAGATGAGCTCTTTATAGTTCATATAACCATTGCTGTCCTCGTACCCTGCTACTAGCACCAGCATCTCTACTTCTTCCTCTGTCATCTTTTCACACAGTGTGACAAGGACATGCTGGATTTCAGTGCCCATGACAGTGCTATTCCCTTCCTTGTCAAACATCTGAAGGTCTTCAATATAGTCCTCATAGGTGCCCTGGTCCTTGTTCTTGGCCACAGTCTGAAACATGGGCAGGGAGTGCTCAAAATCCAGCACCTTCATATTCATCTCATCACTCTTGGGATTCCCCAGGACCTTGAGAACCTCGGAGTTGGTGAGGTTCTGGCCCAGGGCCCTCATCACGTCCCTACACTGACTGTACAGGATCTTACCATCACCTGTTCTGTCAAACAGCTGCAAGGCCTCCTTAAACTCTGCCGTCTGGTCCTCAGTGAAGTCACATATCTTGACTGCTCGGGTCTGGGGACCCTTTCCTGCAGTAATGGCCTACCTTTAAGTTTTTATAGATGCTCTTTATCAAGCTAAGGAAGTTACTTACTATTCCTAATTTATGGAGAGTTTTTCCATGAATGCATGTTGGATTCTTTCACATGCTTTTAATGAATTAAGTGATATGTTCTATGATTTTTTATTTAGTATGTTGATAAAGTGAATTATATTGTTTTTCAAATGTTGAGCCAGCATCACATACATAGATCTAGTCTCATTTGGTTGTGATAACATTCCATTCTTATAATGTCTTTGTCTAGATAGGCATTAGGGTGATGTTGCCCTAATCATATGAGGCTAACATGGTATAATTTTATCCATCCCTTTATTTTTAACCTATTGGAAGTTTTATATTTAAAGTAGATTTCTTGAAGAAAACATACAGTTGGCTCTATATCTAGTATAAACATGTCTTTTAATTAGTATAAATAAACTATCAATATTTAAAATGGTTTTGAAATATTTTGAGTAATTCCTACCATGTTTGCAATTGCTTTCTATTCATTAAATTTATTCTCTTCCTATTAAAGCATATTTAAGACAGTTGCTTTAAAGTCTGTATCTAGAAATTTCAATGTCTTGGCATTCTCAGGGATTATTTCTGTTATTTTATAATGTTCTTTTGAATGGACCACTTCTCTCTGCTTCTCTCTCTCTCTCTTTTTTTTTATTGCTACAAATCATAGAAGCCTTTATTAAATAAAAATATCAAAATGTCCGATTATTGTTTCTTGAAGTCCTGGTGTGCTGCTATAAGATAAGCACTGGGCTGCTAATCACAAGGTTGGCAATTCTCTGCTTCTCTTGTCTTGTTATCTTTTGTGATGAATTGGACATTTGAAAAATATAATGCACTAACTCGGAAAATCTCCACATCTCCATTTTTCTGTGTTTGCTGGTTTCTTTGTTTTCTTCCTTCCTTATTTTCTTCCTCACTTACTTCTACTTCCTTCTTCTCTTTCAACTTCATTTTTTCCTTCTTTCTTCCATTTCTTTGTGTTTCTCCATCTTTCATCTTTCATTATTTAAGATTATAATGGTCTGCTAGGTTAGCATCTTTTTGAAAGTAATTTTGCACAGATTTGATTACTTAATGTTTTACTGATATCTTTGTATTTTTAGCTTGTGTTCAGCAATTCTTCTGACAGAAGCATGTTAAAATTCCAGGAATTTAAAAAAGGAAGAAAAGAAAAAGAAAGGCATCAACAAACAGACAAAAGAAAAATGATAGAAAAAATAAAAATAGAAAGTCTCTTGAAATTTTTGAAGATTGATTCAGTGCAGGGAAATCCTTTCAATATGTAATTGAGTTAATTACAACTCATAACAACCCTGTATAGAGTTTCTGAGGAGAGGCTGGTGAGTTAAATTGCCAACCTTGCTGTTCATATGACATTTTGGTCCAGTGCTTATCCCACAGCACCACACCAGACTGGGCCTAGAGATCAGCTTAGGGTTTCCTAAAATACATTATCTTTCCCTGGTCATGCATGCAGCTTTGTCAATTTCCTGGTATATTGAGACATCTTTGGATGTTCCAAGTTACCCCCCCAAATGATCTTCCCAATTCTGAATTTCTCCCTAAGCTTTCTAGTTTGTGTTTCAATCACTCTTTCTTGGCCCAGACAGCTACAGCCATTTATGTATTCTGTCTCTCCTCCCCCCTGCACTATCTCCAAGATGAATAAGACAGAGATGTATGTTTTGCTTCAGTTTTTTAAATAGCCAGTGGGCAAATTAGAATAGAAAAACAGAATACTGTGCATAGCGTATGGACTGCTTCTTTCAGAGTTCAAGACCAGAATCTAAAACCAGAAATGCAGATTATACTCAGACAAATTGTTACACTACAGAAGGGCAAAGGCAGTGTTCAGTAACAAAAAAACCCAAAAAACAAAAAACTCTCCTACCGTGTTTTTTGGCATCCTCTTTTCTTGATTCACTAATCCCTTGGTTTTAATAAACTATATTTCAGAGTTCAGACAGGATTATTTCTTAACAGTTTCTACTAGGGTTTTCATGTTTCCTTGAGGGATAAGAATGTGGAACTTCTTACTCTGCTCTCTTGTTGATGTTAATTACGAAAACCTTTTAACGTTTCTTATAGTTCATATCTAATGACAGAGAATTTCCTCAGTTTTTGTCTGATAACGTCTTTAATTCTCCAGCTTTGAAAGGTAATTTTGCTGCATGCATAATTCTATGTGGATCTTTTTTATTTTATTTTATTTTTACTCAACATAGTTTCTAAAGTGACACATCCTCTAATGTTTACCTTTATTCCTCTAAGTAAAGGTCTCTACTCCACCCACTTTTGGCTCCTTGCAAGATTTTCACTTTACCTTTGGCTTCCTTTAGTTAGAAAATTGTATGCCTAGATGTTTGCTTTTGTATTTATTTTGTATTAATTTTATCCAAGTTTACTGGATCTGTAGTTTGATAAATATCATTAATTTTGGAAAGATCACAGCCATTTTTACTTCAATTAAGGCTTCTATTCCATTCTTTCTTTCTTTTCCTTTTGGTGTTCCAATTACTATTATTTTGTGTCTCTCAAAATATTTCCACAGTTCTGGGATGCTCTCTTGTATTTTTAAACTATTACTTCTTTTCTCTTTGCCTTTAAATTTTTTTTTTTAAATAATAGCTTTATTGAAATACAATCTACATTCTATAAAACAATTGCTTTAAAATATAGAATACGCTGGTTTTTAGCATATTCACAGAATTGCATAATCATCATCACTATCTAATTTTAGAAGAGTTTAACTAATTCCCAAAAAAACCCATATCCAATGGCAATTATTTAATGCTAAAATGTAGCTAAAACCCAGAAATATCATGCAATGTGAAATAAACCAGACTGGAAAATGGCATATTATTTTATTAGAATTTCTCTTTGCCTTTCAGAATGGTAAATTTCTCTTGACCTACCTTCACTCTCACTAATGCTTTCCTTGGTTATATCAAATCTACTGATTAATTCATTATTAACAGACTTCATTTCTTTTCATATATTTTTAATATCTCGTATTTTCTCTTGTTGCTGTTGATGCCAAGTTGGCTCTGACTCATAGTGACCCTGTGTAGGTTTTCCAAGGAGCAGTTGTTGGGTTTGAACCACTAACCTTGCTGTTTGCAGTCCTATAGCACCACACCAGGAGAACACTAAACCATTCATCAGATCATTTTAAGCTTGATAGCTGATAATTTCAACATTTTGTCGGAGTGTGGTTATGATGATTAATTTGCTATGTTGGCATGTGTATTTACTCCTCTTTTGGTGAGCCATGGAGAATGTTGTTTGTTTTGAAATCCATACATACTGTAGTATTAGGTAATAGGAACAGAAATAAATGGCCTCTTGTTTAAGGAGTTAGAAGTTTGCTTTAGCTATATGTTACAAGGGCTTCAAAATTTTCTACTATTTTTATTTTTATCTTCTCTCTTTGTCTTTGTCAACCTTGCCATTCAAACCACCCTTGTGGTCAAGTGTTTATCCTACAATGCCACACCAGAACTCCTTCCCTTTGCCTTGTTGTTAGGTGCAATCGAGTTAGTATCAAATCATAGCGACCCCATGAACAACAGAATGAAACACTGTCTGGTCCTGGGCCAACCTCACAATTGTTGCCACGCTTGAGCCCATCGATGCTTTGCCAATCCATCTCACTGGGGGTCTTCCTCTGTTTCTCTGACCCTCCACCTTACTAAACATGATATCCTTTTCCAGTGACTGGTCCCTCCTGACAATATGTCCAAAGTATTAGAGATGAAGTTTGGCCATCCTGGCCTCCAAGGAGCACTCTGATTGCACTTCTTTCAACATAGATCTGTTGGTTCCTTTGGCAGCCCATGGCACTTTTAATAGTCTCCTCCAACACCAGAACTAAAAAAGCATCAATTCTTCTATGGTCTTCCTTATTCACTCTCCAGCTTTTGCATGCATATGAGGTTACTGAAAATACCATGGCTTCAGTCAGGCACACGTTAGTCCTCAAGCTGACATCTTTGCTCTTCAACACTTTAAAAAGGTCTTGTGCAACCGATTTGCCTAATGCAATACATCGTTTGATTTCTTGACTGCTGCTTCCATGAATGTTTATAGTTGATCCAAGAAGAGTGAAGTCCTTAACAACTTTCATCCTTTTCTCCATTGATAAGAATGTTGTTTATTGGTCCAATGGTGATGATTTTTGTTTTCTTTACATTGAGATGCAATCCATACCAAAGGCTGTGGTCTTTGATCTTCATCAGTAAGTAAGTTAAATCCTCTTCACTTTCAGCAAGCAAGGTTGTATCATCTGCATATCACAGGTTGTTAATACTGATGCCATATTTTTCTTCATAGAACCCAGCTTCTCAGATTATTTGTTCAGCATACAGGGTGAATAAGTATGGTGAAAGAATACAACCCTGTCACACAACTTTCTTAATTTTAAACCATTCAGTGTTCCCATGTTCTGTTTGAACAACTGCCTCTTGGTCCACGTACAGATTCCTCATTTGCACAGTTAAGTGTCTTGGATTCCCTTAAATTCTTCTCCTCAGAGAAAGTCTGTGTCTTATAACACATTAAGCTTTAGTCAGCCATTATTAACCTGCAACTCTATTGGTGAGGTTGTCAGTGGAAGGGAAAGAATTCTATAATCTACCAATTAAGTCAGTCTTTAGTGGAAACGAATTTCTGGTTATGACTTTCACATGTTGTTTCTTGTATAGGTTCCCCACCTCTTACCGTAGGTGATATAAGTAGGATAGAAGTGGATGGCCTGAGAGAAATGTCTTTGCCATATGTTTCTGGGGAAGGGCTCTGATAAAGTCTTTCCTTTTGGAAATTAGGAATTGTTACTGAGAATATTGTGGCATGTTTTGCAATGATTAGTTTTTCCAGTCCTAGATACATTCAAAAAGAGGACTTTCTCAGATCTTCACTGTAAGAATCTGGTGGAGTTCCAGACAGAAAAGCCCACAAAAGTCAGGATGCTTAAGCTTGACACTGGTGAGACTTTCCCGTGGTCATGCTAATCATGGCCAGGATCTAGTGTTTCATCACGATTGGCATTTAAGCATTAAGGAGCTCTGGTAGTGTAGTGGTTACGAATCGGGCTACGAACCTTAAGGTCAGCAGTTCGAAACTACCAGCCACTTCACAGGAGAAAGATGAGGCTTTCTACTCCCTACAAGATTTACAGCCTTGGAAACCCTGTACAGGGTCCCTGTGGGTCAGAATCGACTTGACGGCACTTAACAACAACAACAATTTGAAATCCTGGTATGGTGCTGTAGGATAAGCCTTGGACTACTAATGCAAAGTTGACAGTTCAAAACCACCAACCACTCCTTGGAAACCCTGTACAGGGTGGTCATGAGTTGAAACCAACTTGATGGCACTTACTAACAACACTAGTCTGTTGTTGGAAATCCTATACAGGGTCACTGTAAATCAGAACAAAATGTACAGCAGACAACAGAAACAACAACCAGCCTTTGAGTGTCACACTGTGGTGGTTTGTCTGTTGATATGATGCTGGAGACTATGTCACTGGAATTTTAAATAACAACAGGGTCACTCGTGGTAGACAGGTTTCAGTGGAGTTTCCAGAATATGACAGACTAAGAAGAAGGAGAGGTGCACAACTTCTGATTGGTTAGCCATGGAAAACCTTATGAATAGCAGTGGGACAATGTTTTATAATGTATTGGAAGATGAGTCTCAGGTTGGAAGGCACTCAAAATACATTTGGGGATGGGTTGTCTCCTTAAATAGAGTTGACCTTAATGATATGCATGGATGGAGAAAAGCATTCCGGATGGGGCAAAACTCAAAATCAAAAGAAATAGCTGCAAGCATACATTAATAATCAGAACATGGAATGTTGGAAGTATAAATCTAGGAAAATTAGAAGTTGTCAAAAATGAATAGAAAGCATAAAGCATGATATAGTAGGTAGTAGTGAGCTGAAATGA